CTGGGTTGAGGGGAGACTACAGCATCACTGGGTGAGAGGAGACAACACACAGCAGGTGAAAGGAGACTGCAGCATCACTGGGGAGAGGAGACAACAGCACACTGGGTAAAGGGGAGACAACAGCACAGCTGGGTGAGAGGAGACAACAGCACAGCTAGGTGAGAGGAACTGCAGCATCAGCTGGGTGAGAGGAGACAACAGCACAGCTAGGTGAGAGGGGGACTGCAGCATCAGCGGGGTGAGAGGAGACAACAGCACAGCTAGGTGAGAGGAGACTGCAGAAACAGCTGGGTGAGAGGAGACAACAGCACAGCAGGTGAGAGGAGACTGCAGCATCAGCTGGGTGAGAGGAGACAAACAGTACAGCTAGGTGAGGGGAGACTGCAGCATCAGCGGGGTGAGAGGAGACTACAGCATCAGTCACAGAAAGGGACACTTTCCCAATACCCAAGCTCCCTCCACACTAATGATTGATCCACACACGTCATGGGGGATCCTGAGGGCTGACTGCCTCTTGTTTGTGAGATTACCCGTTCTGTGTGTCTGTTTACCTGTGTCCTGCGTATGTTTACCTGTGTCTGTGTGTATGTTTAATCTGTGTCTGTGTGTATGTTTACCTGTGTCTGTGTGTATGTTTACCTGTGTGTGTGTGTAATTTTACCTGTGTCTGTGTGTATGTTTACCTGTTGTCTGTGGGGTATGTTTACCTGTGTCTGTTGTATGTTTACCTGTGTCGTGTGTATGTTTATCTGTGTCTGTGTGTATGTTTACCTGTGTCTGTGTGTATGTTTATCTGTGTCTGTGTGTATGTTTACCTGTGCCCTGTGTGTATGTTTACCTGTGTCTGTGTGTATATTTACCTGTGTCTGTGTGTATGTTTACCTGTGTCTGTGTGTATGTTACCTGTGTCTGTGTATGTTTATCTGTGTCTGTGTGTAATTTTTCCCTTTGTGTCTGTGTATGTTTACCTGTGTCTTCGTGTATGTTTACCTGTGTGTGTGTGTGTTTACCTGTGTCTCTTTTTATGTTTACCTGTGTGTTGTGTGTGGTGGTGTGTGTGTGTGTGTGTTTTTTGAGAGAGAGAGAGGAGAGAAAAGGGGAGAGAGAGAGAGAGAGAGAGAGAGAGAAAGTGATTACCTGTGATTGTTGTAAACATACATACAGTTTCGTACAGTCACAATTCATAATCGTTTGAAAAACTACATACAGTTTCCTTTAGCCCAGTCGATTGATTATTATTTATTTATTATCACACTGGCCGATTCCCACCAAGGCAGGGTGGCCCGAAAAAGAAAAACTTTCACCATCATTCACTCCATCACTGTCTTGCCAGAAGGGTGCTTTACACTACAGTTTTTAAACTGCAACATTAACACCCCTCCTTCAGAGTGCAGGCACTGTACTTCCCATCTCCAGGACTCAAGTCCGGCCTGCCGGTTTCCCTGAATCCCTTCATAAATGTTACTTTGCTCACACTCCAACAGCACGTCAAGTATTAAAAACCATTTGTCTCCATTCACTCCTATCAAACACGCTCATGCATGCCTGCTGGAAGTCCAAGCCCTCGCACACAAAACCTCCTTTACCCCCTCCTCCAACCTTTCCTAGGCCGACCCCTACCCCGCCTTCCTTCCACTACAGACTGATACACTCTTGAAGTCATTCTGTTTCGCTCCATTCTCTCTACATGTCCGAACCACCTCAACAACCCTTCCTCAGCCCTCTGGACAACAGTTTTGGTAATCCCGCACCTCCTCCTAACTTCCAAACTACGAATTCTCTGCATTATATTCACACCACACATTGCCCTCAGACATGACATCTCCACTGCCTCCAGCTTTCTCCTCGCTGCAACATTCATCACCCACGCTTCACACCCATATAAGAGCGTTGGTAAAACTATACTCTCATACAGTTCCCTCTTTGCCTCCAAGGACAAAGTTCTTTGTCTCCACAGACTCCTAAGTGCACCACTCACTCTTTTTCCCTCATCAATTCTATGATTCACCTCATCTTTCATAGACCCATCCGCTGACACGTCCACTCCCAAATATCTGAATACGTTCACCTCCTCCATACTCTCTCCCTCCAATCTGATATTCAATCTTTCATCACCTAATCTTTTTGCTATCCTCATAACCTTACTCTTTCCTGTATTCACTTTTAATTTTCTTCTTTTGCACACCCTACCAAATTCATCCACCAATCTCTGCAACTTCTCTTCAGAATCTCCCAAGAGTACAGTGTCATCAGCAAAGAGCAGCTGTGACAACTCCCACTTTGTGTGTGATTCTTTATCTTTTAACTCCACGCCTCTTGCCAAGACCCTCGCATTTACTTCTCTTACAACCCCATCTATAAATATATTAAACAACCACGGTGACATCACACATCCTTGTCTAAGGCCTACTTTTACTGTGAAAAAATTTCCCTCTTTCCTACATACTCTAACTTGAGCCTCACTATCCTCGTAAAAACTCTTCACTGCTTTCAGTAGCCTACCTCCTACACCATACACTTGCAACATCTGCCACATTGCCCCCCTATCCACCCTGTCATAAGCCTTTTCCAAATCCATAAATGCCACAAAGACCTCTTTAGCCTTATCTAAATACTGTTCACTTATATGTTTCACTGTAAACACCTGGTCCACACACCCCCTACCTTTCCTAAAGCCTCCTTGTTCATCTGCTATCCTATTCTCCGTCTTACTCTTAATTCTTTCAATTATAACTCTACCATACACTTTGCCAGGTATACTCAACAGACTTATCCCCCTATAATTTTTGCACTCTCTTTTATCCCCTTTGCCTTTATACAAAGGAACTATGCATGCTCTCTGCCAATCCCTAGGTACCTTACCCTCTTCCATACATTTATTAAATAATTGCACCAACCACTCCAAAACTATATCCCCACCTGCTTTTAACATTTCTATCTTTATCCCATCAATCCCGGCTGCCTTACCCCCTCACGAACTTCCCCCACACTCACAACTGGCTCTTCCTCACTCCTACAAGATGTTATTCCTCCTTGCCCTATACACGAAATCACAGCTTCCCTATCTTCATCCACATTTAACAATTCCTCAAAATATTCCCTCCATCTTCCCAATACCTCTAACTCTCCATTTAATAACTCTCCTCTCCTATTTTTAACTGACAAATCCATTTGTTCTCTAGGCTTTCTTAACTTGTTAATCTCACTCCAAAACTTTTTCTTATTTTCAACAAAATTTGTTGATAACATCTCACCCACTCTCTCATTTGCTCTCTTTTTACATTGCTTCACCACTCTCTTAACCTCTCTCTTTTTCTCCATATACTCTTCCCTCCTTGCATCACTTCTACTTTGTAAAAACTTCTCATATGCTAACTTTTTCTCCCTTACTACTCTCTTTACATCATCATTCCACCAATCGCTCCTCTTGCCTCCTGCACCCACTTTCCTGTAACCACAAACTTCTGCTGAACACTCTAACACTACATTTTTAATCCTACCCCATACCTCTTCGACCCCATTGCCTATGCTCTCATTAGCCCATCTATCCTCCAATAGCTGTTTATATCTTACCCTAACTGCCTCCTCTTTTAGTCGATTGATATTATGGTTATATTCGTCTTCAGCATCCCTCCATAAAAAAAAATATGAAATATCCTTTTTCTCCGAAGCACATTTTTTTTCAAAATTTGTAAAGCATTGTTGTTGCTGTTATTATTATTATTATTATTATTATTATTATTATATTATTATTATTATTGTTATTATTATTATTAATCTGCATTTACTATTTCCATCCCCCAGGGTGCGACCCGCAATAGTCGACAACCACCCAGGTACCTGTTCACTGCTCTGTGAACAGTGGCTGCTGGAATAAAGGGAAAGACATGCGCATCGCATCGTCCTTCCCTGGAACAGTGGAAAAATCAGGGAAGACGTAATCAAAATATATCTATCACATCTGTAAAAGGTTGAGGGATCATTAATCTTCCTTCCTCCCATCCCCCTTACTATCCTATGGCCACTAATCCTTATCCACGTCATTGTTCCGGGATCATCATGATCCTACCACGTAGCCTGGATCCAGGTCTCATGAATTGAAAAGGTAATATTTAAGCACGACCAAAGTAACATGCCTGATACGACACTTTCTGGAAATGGTTCAGTTTCCGTTTGAAAAACAATTCTACTTTTGTCATGGCAATTTTTTTTTTTTTTGGAATATAGGCGAGGCTTCCTGAGAGAAATTTAGTGGAAAACTGAGCGATCAACCGAGCTTTGTTGACCTGTGGAAGTATTTGTTGACGTCAGTGATAGAAAAGTGGACTGGGTTTGAGAAGGACCTGCGTAGTATGGGCCACTGGGACCATCTGCAGTGTTCCTCCTTTCTTATCTTATCAGACGATGACACCCGACAAGTCTGGAAAAAGTGTGTGTGTGTGTGTGTGTGTGTGTGTGTGTGTGTGTGTGTGTGTGTGTGTGTGTTACTGTGTGGGGGCACTGTGTAAACTGCATTAACACATGACCATTCTTATTTCTACACGAGCTACCGATGGGTGCACAACTGATGCAATATGTGTGCGCGCGCGCAAAACAGCCACTGTGACAAAAATAGCCAATTTCCAAGCGCTTTCGTGATTTCTCACATTATCAAGGACCTGTGTGAGAGTAGGTACGCATGTCTTAAAGACTCAGACACCTTTGCAGCATGTGGGAACGTTCACCGTGGAAAAGTTCCTCCAACAAGTGGCTTCCTCAATAAAGATTCCCAAATACTGCAAAAGTGTCTTAATTTTTTCAACTAGTCGATTTTCTAAGTCATATGTACCATACATGTGTGTTACTAGTGGCTTGAGCAGGGAAGGAAGGGATGGACGGAGGGAAGGAAGGAGGGAGGGAGGGAGGGAGGGAGGGAGGAAAGGAGGGTGGGATGCACATCAATGCATCTTCACACACACACCGAAGTACTCATGAAAAAAAAAGACAAATTAATTACGAACCTTGGCTACGAGACACGCCGACCCTGGTGGACCAGACGGGCGAGGCGGAGGCTGGCCGCCCACACCCTGACCACCACCCGCTGCCTCCTCCTGCAACAAGATATGACCTGACCTCACCCTGAAGAAGAACACATCCTGAGGGTCATTTAACCCAGGAGAAACCAACAAAACAATAATAGTCATGCTTATTTCCATTAGAGTTTTCCCCTCGAGATGCGACCCACAACACCTGACTAACACCCAGGTATCTACTGCTATGTGAGAAAGACATGTATGCGAGCATCAAGATATTCAGTGACGATACGTTTCGCCTACCAGGGTGGGCGAAACGTATCTTCAATGTCTTGAAAAGGGGTAACAGGTGTAAGGAAATACAAAAGCGTAATACCGACAGTAATAAAGATATGACTGGTACAGAGCAAGCTTCTGGTGTGACTACGTTTCACTCTATGTAGAGCTTTATTAAGTCAGGGACTTTATAAGACTGCACAGAGCAAAATGTAGTCACACTACAACTTTCTGCACCTGTGTCATTTCTTCCGAGTCTAAGGAAACTTGCCCAGACGTCTTAACGTGCCCGGGAATCGAACCTGGGTCTTTTCGAATGCAAGCCAGACGTATCATCACCGAGCTGCAAGTGACGCTCACTAGGGAAGCCACAACCCCTGTATACCACAAACAAACTACATACGCACATATGTACATACACCATGCACACGTCTCCGTCGTGACTGCCAACACGCTCACCAACACTGTTGTTTCCAGTCGACCAATGAAGAATGTAAGTCAAAATTCTGCGGCTGAAACAGTTCACGAAAAACTCACATGAAGTCAAGTGATAATGGTTCAGATCGGACCAAAACTGAGCTTTAAGTTTCATCTCAGAAGTGTGGGTTGTCTGTGAACCTTACGACCCATGCTTCTGTGTAAAGTAATAGGGGTTAAATGCAAAATAAAACAATAGTGTAGCTGGAATAATTCACAGTTAATAAGAGAGGTAACTGTAGATGACGTTTTGCTCCATCCTGGACTCCTCGCTATTTACTTACAGGCTGAGAGCTGAAGAATGAGACACTTATGCAACATTTGGGAATGTTTATTAAGGGAACGTTTCGCCAGCCAGTGGCTTCTTCAGTCCAATACAGAGAACTGTTATCCTACCTCCACTCATTTCGAAGCCCAACCCTATCTAGAGCGCATATATATATATATATATATATATATATATATATATATATATATATATATATATATATAAAATATATATATATATATATATATATATATAAGGAATCTGACAGTTCCCAAATCAGTTTCCGACCAGCCGGGCTGTGGTTCGTTCACTGGAATGCGTGCGGCCAGCAGCAACAGCCTAGTTGTTCCCCCAGGAGGCCTGGTTTGGGACCGGGCCACAAGGTCTTTGATTCCCCAGGAAACATCCTTCAGGTATTCTTCAGGTTCAGGAGAGCCACAGCAGTCGACTAATACCCAGGCACCTACTTACTGCTAGGTGAACAGGGGTAACAAGTGAGAGGAGCCAAATACTATTTATTTACATGAAGCGTTAAATCCGGGTAGGTTATTCAAAACAGGAACACAACGTTTAAGGAGACTTGCCAATACATTTCGCCTCCCCCAGAATTGAATGCGAGTAATCAGATTGTGAGCCCGAAGTGCTACCACTGAGCTGCAAACCACTCTGGTTGTCATCCATCTTTGAACATCTTCTTAACACGAGCTAAACATCTTTTTAGCAAGAGCTGTACATTTCCCACACTTGTCTACGTTTTAAAGAGCGAGTTCTCCACAAAGTCCAGTCACTGCTATCAAGCTAGTTCACAGTTAATGAATAAAAAGGCACAATACCGTGACGGATTATCTTTATATGGCTAGTTCATAGTTGCTACAGTGGCTCCACGACGTCTAGTCCAGTAAGCTAGTTCACAGTTGCTATCTCGGCGCCACGACAGTTTAGTTCACTGTTATCAAGCTAGTTCACAGTTGCTAGAGTAGCGCCACGACAGTCTTGTTCAGTCACTGCTGACACTGCTCGACTTCCAGGCTATTTGTTAATGGTTCCGGGGATAATTACCCCAGCGGCCCGCTCTCTAACTTGGCCTTTCTAGACTGTAAACCTGGAGAGTTTACCTGGAGAGAGTTTCGGGGGTCAATGCCCCCGCGGCCCGGTCTGTGACCAGGCCTCCTTAAAGGAAACATTACAGAAACAAGAACTATTAAGAAACTTACAGGAAAGTGTACACAATGTGAGTAGACGTCAGTAATATTTCTCTGTCGCCTTACATGTCCATGAGACGGAAAAAGCTTGGACAGGTATAGGTGTGGGTGGATGAGAGTTGGACGTGCATAGCATGGGCCAGCTGCAGTGCGTTTCCATTCTAAATGTTTTTTATCCTCTAAAACAACAGACTAGCAATCCTGCCAGAGTGAAAAACATTTAACAGGATCCCATTTCATAGTCTTTCAAGAGGACGTTAGTACCTTCCTAGAAAATGACTGTCTATAAACCTACAGTCGTGTGACAGGACGTTAGTACCTCATGGGATGGTTGACGTCTACAAGTCTCTACAGAGGACTACACATAGCGGAATATGTGACATACGCACTGACTCAAGACACACGGACATATTTCACTTGATTTTCTTAATGATTTACAATTCATCCAAAGCCCTCTTGTCCTTTCTGAGCAATACACCTTTGTATCCCATTTTACAAGACATATACCTTCCGTTTCATCCTTTTCTATATCATCTTCCCCCCGTTCCTTCCGTCCCCAATGACTCAGTAACACACCTCCTCCTCCATGACTCAGTAACACACCTCCTCCTCCATGACTCAGTAACACACCTCCTCCTCCATGACTCAGTAACACACCTCCCTCCTCCATGACTCAGTAACACACCTCCTCCTCCATGACTCAGTAACACACCTCCTCCTCCATGACTCAGTAACACACCTCCTCCTCCATGACTCCGGGCAACACACAATGCCATCTTTGTTATCCTGGGAAATAAATCTTCCTCTTCGTTTTCCAAGTGATAAGAGACTCTGTTATTAACACTTTTTTTTTTCTCTCTCTCCCTGTACCCTCTTATAGTCCCTCCCTGTACCCTCATAATATAACCCTTGCACCCTGTATCTCAGTCTCTCCTTGTACTCTCAATTATAACTCGTCTCTGAGCCCCTTTTCGTAGTCCATCCCTGAACCCTGTACTCCCTGTACCCAGTACCGTCTCAAAGATATAAAAAATACACACTAATATCAACTCCCAAAGAGTTTTAACTTCTATGGTAATAAACCTTCAAAGTCTATATGGAGGCTCTAGATGAGTTATGTTTCTTAACAAAGTAGATTATAGAAGTTATACAAAGCAAATACATCTTCAGAATGATGTTAACATTTCTCTAAGAAATTGAATAGTGGAGTCATCAAGTGACTCAGAAAAACGTACGTATGATCCTGACTAACTAACTTGTGCTGGTGTAAAGACAGTAGGATCAGGAGTCAAAAGTAATTAGGTCAGGAATAAGGTCATTATGAGCACGAGGACTCCTAGATATTATAAGCACAAGAGCGCACAGGTGTCGAGAACATAAATTACGAGCACGAGAACACAGAGGCGTTACGAGCATGAGAACACAGAGGTGTTACGAGCACAAGAACACACAGGCGTTACGAGCACAAGAACACGAAGGTGTTACGAGCACGAGAACACACAGGTGTTTTGAGCACAAAAACACACAGGTGTTACAAGCACAAGAACACACAGGTGTTACGAGCACGAGAACTCACAGGTGTTACGAGCACGAGAACACACAGGTGTTTCGAGCACAAAAACACAGGTGTTACAAGCACAAGAACACACAGGTGTTACGAGCACGAGAACTCACAGGTGTTACGAGCACAAGAACACACAGGTGTTACGAGCACAAGAGCACACAGGTGTTACGAACAAGCACAAGAACACACAGGTGTTACAAGCACAAGAACACACACACGCATCAACCACAAATTGGAAACAAGAATTCTCGGTCCTTCCTAGAAGAAAAACGGTTGTTTATATAGACGGGAACACTTTTCTTAGAAAAGATTACAGACAAAAATCTCTTATTGGAACATCAAGGGTGTCAGTGATTCCCTTAAAAGAAGGATATGATCCACTCAATCTCCAAGACCTCACAAGACTTGTCACTACTGAAATCTCTTGCTACCTCTGATGGATTTAATATATATATATATATATATATATTATATATATATATATATATATATATATATATATATATTATATATATATATATGTGTGTGTGTGTGTGTGTGTGTGTGTGTGTGTGTGTGTGTGTGTGTGTGTGTGTGTGTGTGTACTCACCTAGTTGTACTCACCTAGTTGAGGTTGCGGGGGGTCGAGTCCGAGCTCCTGGCCCCGCCTCTTCACTGATCGCTACTAGGTCACTCTCCCTGAGCCGTGAGCTTTATCATACCTCTGCTTAAAGCTATGTATGGATCCTGCCTCCACTACATCGCTTCCCAAACTATTCCACTTACTGACTACTCTGTGGCTGAAGAAATACTTCCTAACATCCCTGTGATACATCTGTGTCTTCAACTTCCAACTGTGTCTGTCCCCTTGTTACTGTGTCCAATCTCTGGAGCATCCTGTCTTTGTCCACCTTGTCAATTCCTCTCAGTATTTTGTATGTCGTTATCATGTCCCCCCTATCTCTCTTGTCCTCCAGTGTCGTCAGGTTGATTTCCCTTAACCTCTCCTCGTAGGACATACCTCTTAGCTCTGGGACTAGTCTTGTTGCAAACCTTTGCACTTTCTCTAGTTTCTTTACGTGCTTGGCTAGGTATGGGTTCCAAACTGGTGCCGCATACTCCAATATGGGCCTAACGTACACGGTGTACAGGGTCCTGAATGATTCCTTATTAAGATGTCGGAATGCTGTTCTGAGGTTTGCTAGGCGCCCATATGCTGCAGCAGTTATTTGGTTGATGTGCGCTTCAGGAGATGTGCCTGGTGTTATACTCACCCCAAGATCTTTTTCCTTGAGTGAGGTTTGTAGTCTCT